TAATAATAATAATAATAATAATAATAATAATAATAATAATAATAAAAAGTTGGAAGGGACCTTGGAGGTCATCTAGTCCAACCCCCTGCTCAGGCAGGAAACCCTATACCATTTCAGACAAATGGCTGTCCAGTCTCTTCTTAAAAACTTCCAGTGTTGGAGCATTCACCGCTTCTGGAGGCAGGTTGTTCCACTGGTTCATTGTTCTAACTGTCAGGAAGTTTCTCCTTAGTTCTAGGTTGCTTCTCTCCTTGGTTAGTTTCCCTCCGTTGCTTCTTGTCCTGCCTTCAGGTGCTTTGGAGAACAGCTTGACTCCCTCTTCTTTGGGACAGCCCCTGAGATATTGGAAGACTGCCATCATGTCCCCCCTCGTCCTTCTCTTCATTAAACTAGACATACCCAATTCCAGCAACCGTTCCTTATATGCTTTAGTCTCCAGTCCCCTAATCATCTTTGTTGCTCTTCTCTGTACTCTTTCTAGAGTCTCAACATCTTCCACGCATCTTCCAGTAGTCAAGGTTGAGAAAGGCTGCTGTAAATGTTCACTCTGATCCTCCAGGCACTTTCTTGAGAGGGCTCTCTTTTTTTGCTGTCTCTGTATTTGAGTTATGAGTTATTTTCTACATTAACCCTGGATGTGTGTGATCTAGGACGCTCGTCAGCTATAGTGCAATGCAAGCTTGATAGCTTAGAGTGGTGTTTTCTTCTAAAATGTCACAAGAAGAAAGCTTTATACATGTAGCATTGCAGCCTATCTTGCTGAGCAGCCTTTTCCTCAAAAACAGAAGGCTGCATGTGAAAATGCCAGAATTCTATCTATTTTAGAAGACGCTTGGATTGTGGAGAAATGATTGAAAAGGTGGCATTATGGTGTATCTCTAGATCTAGCAGCTATTGTGTCATAAATTCTCAGTGGTGGAAGATTAAACGTTACCCTTCATTTTGAACATATCTGCCTCCCATCGACAACAGATAAAAGAGCTGGGGTTTATTTGAAGTTATAGAAAAGCACTTATTGTATTAACAGTTACTCTGTGCTTCAGTTAATTAACATCAGAAGAGGAAATAGATCAAGTTACGTAAACCAAGTACTAATTAAAAGATTTATAAGACGGCAAGACCCAAGTTCTTAAAGCTGCTTTAGAATTCTCAATCAAAGGGAGGTAATTATTATTTTTTACATTGTGAGTATTTTTTTTTAATATGGCTTCCCATCTCAGACAAGTAACCCGGAGTGAGTGGCTAATTAAGAACATGTCTTGTTGTTGAAAAAGGTTTTGGTGGGGGTGGACTGGGCAAAAAAAATACCCCAATCAAGTAACTCCCAACTCAAGACAGACAGGCTAACAGTAAACAACAATCCAGTACACTTCTACCAACACTGACAGCGCAAGCCATTAGTAAATAAAAAGAGCAAGCCCTACTCGCTTGCTAGCACTGATGAGGTTACCTAGTTTGGTAATGAAACGTCTGCAAGAAAACAGTCACATTCAGAGATTACCAATGACCTCTCATTTCCATCCTGAGCTACAAATATTTTCTTCTATAGAAAAGACAGGTGTTATATACAATGCCTTGGTAAGGCCACACTTGGAATCCTGCATCCAGTTTTGGTCACCACGATGTAAAAAAGATGTTGAGATTCTAGAAAGAGTGCAGAGAAGAGCAACAAAGAGGATCAGGGGACTGGAGGCTAAAGCATATAAGGAATGGTTGCTGGAATTGGGTATGTCTAGTTTAATGAAGAGAAGGACGAGGGGGGACATGATAGCAGTGTTCCAATATCTCAGGGGCTGCCCCAAAGAAGAGGGAGTCAAGCTATTCTCCAAGGCGTCTGAAGGCAGGACAAGAAGCAACGGATGGAAACTAATAAAGGAGAGAAGCAACCTAGAACTAAGGAGAAACTTCCTGGCAGTTAGAACAATTAACCAGTGGAACAACCTGCCTCCAGAAGCGATGAATGCTCCAACACTGGAAGTTTTTAAGAAGAGACTGGAAGCCATTTGTCTGAAATGGTATAGGTTTCCTGCCTGAGCAGGGGGTTGGACTAGATGGCCTCCAAGATCCCTTCCAATATTATTATTATTATTATTATTATTATTATTATTATTATTATTATTATTATTATTATTATTATTATTATTATTATTATTTGGTCCGTGGCCTTCTCCTTAATAGTCCCCTACTTTATCTCAAGAGGGGCATTATGAGAAGATGCTGTAATAAAGAGAAGAGATTACAGTTAGTGCTGGGTGTGGTTAAGCAACCAAAGTAGCTATCAGAGCCTCAGCGTGATCTGTTGAACAGAATCTCTTTTTCGTCTCTCCGACTCGGCAGCCGAGGTGAAGCGCGTGGGTGACACCGTGTTGGGAATGGCCACGCAGTGTGTGCAGATGAAAAACGTGCAAAGGACGACCCCCCAGACGCTGTCCAATCTGTGCTTGAAGATCAACGTCAAGCTAGGAGGAGTTAATAACATATTACTGCCTCAAGGAAGGTAAGGATTTTTAAGGTGTGAATAAAGCATCCACTGGCCCTGTGCTGTTGAAGAAAGAAAGCATCTCATTCGTTCGTTTTGTTGGCTGAATAATCTGTCCAGTTACCCAATTTGCAAATAATGTGCATTTTAAAAAAAAAAAAAAATTCTAAGAAAACAGTTCTGTTCAACATGGAGTAATTTTATCCCACAGCATTTTTTTTTAAAACTGTTTTGGTTTTGTGGTTAGATCTTAATGAATGCCTTATAACAAGGCAGAATCCCAGACTTTTAAATTGGAAGCTGGAAGTTTTGAAGGCCTCTTGTTTATAGTGCATCAAGCAGCCCTCCAGTTGTGACTAGTTTTGTGGCTGAAGGAGAGGAAGGCAAAATAAAAAATAATTATAAATTTGATTCGTGGCCGGGCTGCTGACTCTGAAAAAAAAAAAGAATGAGACTTAAACTATTAACATGTTGGGTTGATATAACAATTTGAAAAGGGAAGAGGGGGGAGAAAAATCTCCTACTGGCCCTCACATTGTGCTGCTTTATCATTTAACCATGGTTTATTGACAGCACCATCATTTGACTTGTCAGTTAGGAACAACTACAGCATGTAACTGTAGAAATACTTAGAAATTAAGTAATCTGGACTTTCACGGCAACAACATTTTAAATGAGTGTGAAGATCAGTCACTGCAGCCGATGCAAAGAATAGGTGGAGAAAGGAATATTAGGTAAATTAGCCATCTTTTGAGTTATTTATCAAACTAATAAAGGCAAGAAACAAACAGACAAACATGCTCTGATTTTTTGGGGTGTATGTGTGTGTGTCTCCAAACAACTGGCCAGCTGCTTGGAGCTTCTGGGCCAGCTTGAAAAGTAGTCACATATCACCACCCTTGTTTTGTTTAGCAGTAAGTAGAAAATGGATGGGGGAATTTTAGACATCCCAGATGTTCAGTTACAGTTCCCAGCAGTCCTCATTGCTGGCTATCATTCTCGAATGCACCAGCATCTCTCCATCCATATGACTTGCAAGTTTTGCTTTCCTCAAAAGAACACTTAAAGCTGGAAAAAAAAAACCCACTCTTGGCTCCCAATGCTTTTCTTCCATCATTTAGTTCTGAGCCCAGGAGAATCTGTGGTTTCCACGCATCGTATTTTAACCTCGCTCAGCACCAGAGGTGGCCCTCCACACGGTAGCACAGATTTCCCCACCATAAAGCCTGATTTGATTGTCCCTTTGTCTTTGAAATACTATCACCCAGAAGGCCCGGGAAAACTAACTGGGTTGTGTTAACTAACTAATCTTTCTAAGAGTCACAATAGGTTTCTCCAGCAGGTCTGCTGATTATGTCTCTTTGGTAGCATCCTCCGGCAGCGTTAGTGCCAAAACAGCTTGTAACGGGACTTGATTGGAGACTTGTCCAGAGTTACAAAAATTTCCATGCACACATCTTCAACAGGGCTGAAGCTACGTCTCTGCAAAATAACAAAAAACCCATATAGTTTGACTCTTTTCATCTTAAAAGAGTCTTATAATAGAGGTATACAAAGATATTACAAATATAGTCCTTGACTATATACTGTGTTTTCCCGAAAGTAAGGCCTTATACCAGGGGTAGGCAACCTTGGCTCTTTTATGATTCGTGGACTTCAACTCCCAGAATTCCTGAGCCAGCCATGCTGAGGGAAAGGGAGAGGTTTCCAAGCTGAGCCGTGCCGGCTCAGGAATTCTGGGAGTTGAAGTCCACGAGTCATAAAAGAGCCAAGGTTGCCTACCCCTGGCCTATACCAACAATAAGCCCTAGCTTGATTTTTTTGGGGGTGGGCCTAATATAAACCCTGTCCCAAAAATAAGCCCTCGTTTTGGGGCGGGGCACACCTAAAAATCAAGCTAGGGCAGGGGTGGGGGGTAGAGCTGCCCCACCCGCCCTACACCCACTCACCTGGCAACCAGGCCTTGCTGGCCTACTTCTTCTAAGGCCTCTTCTGCAGCCTGGCCTGCATTTCTCAGTCAGAGTCCTTTCCAGAAGGCCTCTGCAGCCAAGAACCGAGCTATGGGTTGAATCTGTGGCTCGGTTCTGCCAGAGATCTGCAGCCGAGCACCAAGCTATGGATTGAATCCATAGCTTGGTATTCGGCTGCTTAGGCCNTCCTTGACTATATAGTCATTTAGTGACTGTTTGAAGTTACGGCTATACTGAAAAAAGTGACTTAGGACTTATTGGCCGTTGCACATCCCCATGGCGACGTGATCAAAATTCAGTTCCTTGGCAACTGACTCATCTTTACGACGGTCGCAGTGTGCCAGAGTCACGTGATCCCCCTTTGCCACTTTATGACCCGCAAAGTGCGTGGGGAAGTCAGATTCACTTAACAACGGTGTGACTAAGTTAACAACTGCAGTGATTCATTCACTTAACAAACGTGGCAAGACAAGTCATAAAATGGGGCAAAATTTATTTACTGTAAGTCAAGAATGTGGTGCTGGTAGATATGTTGCCCAAGGCCCTTGGCCTGTCCTCAGATGGAAACGTGCTGGCAGAACACAGTTGTATAACGGGCGCTCTGTAGTGTCCTGGAGAACCCACCAAGGTAATCTTGCCTCCTCGATTGTGTTGTGCAAATACTTTTTTTATGCTCTCTCTTAATTAGGCCTCCAGTATTTCAGCAGCCCGTCATTTTCCTGGGAGCAGATGTCACTCATCCACCAGCTGGAGACGGGAAAAAACCATCTATTGCTGCCGTGAGTAAAAGAGGCGTTTATCGCCTCCATTCTCTTTTTTTTCCTCTTTTTTTTTAAACTTTCAATTTTTATTCCAAAAATTAAAATGCAAACTCCAAAAAGGAAAATAAAAACAAAATTATACAAAAGCAAAACAAAAAATGGCTGGAACATTAAAAAAATGTGCATGACAAAAGAACAAAAGAACAAAAATGCATATAAATGTGTTATCCCCCTTAGCTGAATACTGATAGATAGACTGCAACAATGTTGATTTCTCCTGCATTTTCATTACTCTGTTTGCATTTTATCTGATGTTATTTTTTCCTACTTAAACACCTTTCGTTCCCCCCCCCCTTGCCCAAAATGTTTCTGAAGGAGTCTTCTCTTGAAATTGCCTTAAAAAACACCTCTCACTTCTTTAGAATAGTCATCCTGCTTTTGTGGCAGGTCTGCTTCTTTGGCTTTATATATAGTGGGTGTGCTTTTGGAAAATGTGGTTTTATGGATCATTTTTCTTTCTTCTCTCTGTGTCTGCGATCACCTCATCCTGTCCCAATGTTATAAAAAGAACAGAATAACCGAGTTGGAAGGGACCTTGGAGGTCATCTAGTCCAACCCCTGCTCAGGCAGGAAACCCTGTACCATTTCAGACAAATGGCTGTCCAGTCTCTTAAAAAGCACCCACAACGTCTGGAGGCAAATCCTTCCACTGATTAATTGTTCTAACTGTCAGGAAATTTCTCCTTAGTTCTAGGTTGTTTCTCTCTTTTGGTTAGTTTCCATTGTTTCTTGTCTTGCCATCTTGTCCCCCAATGTGACGGACTCCAGGTGTAATGGAATTGCCATTTCCCAAATTCCCAAACAACAGGCTGGCTGGGAATTCTGTATTTATAAGCCTGTTGAACCCAAATATGCTTTTTCATGAGGCAACTGGACTTCCTTGTATTTCCTTGAAGGCGTTTCGCTTCTCATCCAAGAAGCTACTTCTGCTCTGACTGGATGGTGGAGCTTCTTCAGTCAGAGCTGAAGAAGCTTCTTGGATGGGAAGTGAGACGTCTTCAAAGAAAAACAAGTATTTTTAAGGGCCAGGTACTTATTACCACATCTGGTGGACATGCCCTAAAGCAAAAAGGTATTGGGCTAAAATACATCTATGGTTGGAGAAGGTGACTAAAAAACAGACTTTAAACCAGAACTGTTTTTGTTAGGAATAATAGGAGCCAAGTAGGAGAAAGAGTGCAGATATCTGATACTACATGTATTAACAGCAGCAAGAATTGTATTTGCCCAACATTGGAAAAATGAAAACTTTCCAACTGACGAAGTACTAATTAAGAAAATTCTAGAGGGCGCAGAAATGGATAGATTGACTTTAGAGATTAAAGAGAAAGAAGACTCAGTCTATTTTAGAACATGGGATAGCTTTTACCAATGGCTAGAAAAACGAGTCAGAGAGAAAGGAATGTGACCTGTAATTCTGAATATATATTAGTAAGAAGAAGGTTACTGAGTGATTAATTAATACTGTTTATGATAATTAACTACATCTATTATTCTTAGTTAAATACATGTACCCAGATAATATGCTGTTTGCTAAATATTGAAAATGTTACCTGGGAAAACCCCAATCCTAGTTTAATACAATCACCAAGCTTTCGTCGGCAAACTGCCGACATCGTCAGGGCTTAAAATGCTAGTCAAGAGGAGAGTCCTTTTATAGGCTGATCAAGGTCTGCACTCGGCTCTTGGACCTCGTCATCGGATCTGATTGAATAAGTTGTGTTCCGGCCGTGGCTCTTGCATTAGCGGAATATATATATATATATTCCCTAATTATACTAAAAATGCGAATCCTGGGTAAATCCATATAATAGAAATAAAATAGTCCGAGCACCAGGATAATATTAAAACAAAAACTGTTTAATACATAAGCTAAGGCTAAGCTTTCGTCGGCCAACACTGCCGACGTCATCAGAGCACAATACAAGATTACTGGGAGTCCTTTTTATATTGCCGGATGGCTCTGCACCCGGCTTCTCGATCTAGTCATCGGTCCGTCCGTTTTCTCTACTTGGTTTGTTCTTAAAGGGCACGCGTCTCTTGCTGTGTTGGTATCTTCCGAGGTCACTATTTTCTTTTTCTTGGGCTCGGTCACTTTCTTTCTGCTAGAATACACAAGAGGAGAGGGACGAGACACTCCACCGATGACTACAAAAAAGAGATCCATGAGCAAACGATGGAAAGCCATGCCACGGGACCCTGCACGCGCGCAAGAAGGGCAAAAGAACTAGCAAACGATGAAGGGGGACCGAAAAACCCAATGAACGATTGAACAGTAAAGGACCTTAAGATGGGGGGGGACAACCAGAAGTGGATCGATATACCCACGGAGGTCCACGGAAGAAGGCAGCGCTCCTGAGTGGGAGAACACACGCAGGAGCATATCCATCAGAGACTACCCTGATAGACGCCCGGATCCACTCAATATACCCCCTCCCCGAGCACACATGCACACAACCCCATCCAGGAAGATCAGATGGATCCCGGAATAGAACCAAAAAAGGGGATAAGTGTAAGTGAGCGAAAGCAACCGGCGTATGCTAGTAGAAAGAAAGTGATCGAGCCCAAGAAAAAGAAAATAGCGACCTCGGAAGATACCAACACAGCAAGAGACGCGTGCCCTTTAAGAACAAACCAAGTAGAGAAAACGGACGGACCGATGACTCGATCGAGAAGCCGGGCGCAGAGCTGTCCAGCAATATAAAAAGGACTCCCAGTAATCGTGTATTGTGCTCTGATGATGTCGGCAGTGCTGGCCGACGAAAGCTTAGCCTTAGCTTGTGTATTAAACAGTTTTTGTTTTAATACTATCCTGGTGCTCGGACTATTTTATTTCTATTATCTATATAAATAAAAATGTAAATGTTTGTATGTTCAAAATCTTAAATCTCCGAAAGTTCTTCACCGATTGCTTTGAAATTTTGACACAACGTTGCATTCAAATACCCGCGCGTTTTTATATACCTACTATTATATAGATGTCATACCTGTGACAGGTAAAAACATGCTTTTTTTGAAAAACAGCGCCATCTGTTGGATGTAAACATATTACAAACGTGCGCTTTCTCTTTTCTTTCTTTTCCATTTAACCAGACTGAGCCACAGCAACGCGTGGCCGGGTACAGCTAGTATATATATATAAAGAAAAGCAAGAAAGTCCAGTTGCCATGTGGAAAAGCACCTTTGTAAAGTTGCTGTGTGCTAAATTGCACGGCCCGCTGCTTTTTCCCCCCCTCTATTCACAAGAAACACCCCGGCTTCCCTCCACAGGTTGTAGGCAGCATGGATGCCCATCCGAATCGCTATTGTGCCACTGTGAGGGTCCAGCAGCACCGCCAAGAAATAATTCAAGACTTGGCTGCCATGGTTCGGGAGCTGCTGATCCAGTTTTACAAATCCACTCGATTCAAGCCGACGCGGATTATTTTCTATCGAGACGGCGTTTCCGAGGGGCAGTTTCAACAGGTTCCCGGTCTTGTTTTCCTTTTCTTGCGTTTTGTGTGTGTGGCTTTACATTGAGAAGCGAAATCTAGAGGAACGTTAGTTACTTCTTAAATGGTCAGGTGCCTTCATTCCAAGAAAGGGAGACCCAATTTGCCAAGGTTGAGAATTCTGGGTTAAATGTTGAATTTGAAGGCGAGGAACATTTTGGGGTACACGCATTTGCCTGTCCTGCCAGATGTAGCTCCATCAAATGTACCTAGTAATAAAACCTAACAATAACAGATAGTTTGCAACAGTGGCGAATACAGGCCATCCTCCCCTTAACGACAATTCCTTTAGCGACCGTTCGAAGTTAACAACGGCACTGGAAAAAAAGGGACCGATGGCCATTTTTCAGACCTAACGACCGTCGCAGCGTCCCCATGTTCACGTGATCCAAAATTCAAAGAGGCTTGGCAACCGACTCATATTTAGGACGGTCGCAGTGTATCCCGTGTGTGTGTGTGTGTGTGTGTGTGGTGATTCCCTTTTGTGACCTTCTGACAAGCAAAGTCAAGTGGGGAAGCCCAGAGTCACTTTACTTACTACCTTGTTAGTAACCTAACAACTGCAGTGATTCAGCTTAACAACCGTGGCAAGGAAAGTCGCAAAATGGGGCAAAACTCACTTAAAAAGGACTATCTGTAACTCTTTAAAAACAAAAAAAAGTTTTCTCCTTGTAAATGCAGGAGGATTTCTGGTGTGATTCTGACCCAGAACCTCCCTCGAAATGGTCGGATTCAGGGTTGTCTAAAACCAAGTCTCAACAATGACTGACTGCAGGGTTGTGATAATAGGTTGTGGTTGGCCCAACAGAGTAGCATGCCTGGACGCATATGCATTTTTATCATGGCAGTGTTTTTTCTTGCCCTGGATCTAGCCAGTTTAACCTCATTAAGTCAAGAATGTGGGGCTGGTCCTGGTGTTTTTGCATGCCTCGGATCAGCTGTTTTGCTGCAGGATGAATACCTGAAGGAAGACACAAATAAATAAACAGGGTGAAAAGAGTTTTTCTTACTGGTAACACATTTCAAGCTGTCTCTTTTTTCTCCCTCCCGTTTCCCCTCGCTGCAGGTTCTTCATCATGAATTGCTGGCTATCCGAGAAGCATGCATTAAGCTAGAAAAAGATTACCAGCCAGGGATTACATTCATTGTGGTCCAGAAGAGGCATCACACCAGGCTGTTTTGCACCGACAAAAATGAAAGAGTAAGTATTACACACAGACACACACAAATAATAATAATAATAATAATGATGATGATGATGATGATGATGATGATGATGATGATGATAATAATAAAGTTGGAAGGGACCTTGGAGGTCATCTAGTCCAACCTCCTGCTCAGGCACGAAACCCTATACCAGTGGTGGCGAACCTATGGCACGCGTGCCAGAGGCGGCACTCAGAGCCCTCTCTGTGGGCAAGCGTGCCATGCCCCCGGAAATGGTGAGGGACTGGTCCCCGCTGCCCTGGCCCCACCCACCCAGTCTGCCATGACCACCATGGCCACACCCACCCGGCACCCAGTGATAAATAAGTGGGTTTTGGGTTGCAGTTTGGGCACTGGGTCTCTAAAAGGTTCGCCATCACTGCCCTATACCATTTCGGACAAATGGCTGTCCAGTCTCTTCTTAAAAACTTCCAGTGTTGGAGCATTCACCGCTTCTGGTGGCAGGTTGTTCCACTGGTTAATTGTTCTGTCAGAAAGTTTCTCCTTAGTTCTAGGTTGCTTCTCTCTTTGGTTAGTTTCCATCTGTTGCTTCTTGTCCTGCCTTCAGGAGCTTTGGAGAATAGCTTGACTCCCTCTTCTTTGGGGCAGCCCCTGAGATATTGGAACACTGCTATCATGTCCCCCCTCGTCCTTCTCTTCGTTAAACTAGACATACCCAATTCCAGCAGCCGTTCCTTATATGCTTTAGCCTCCAGTCCCCTGATCATCTTTGGAGAGAAGTTGGCAAGCAATGAAATAAGAACTCTCCTGATCTATTACTGCGATCTCAAAACTGGCAAATTAAACAACTTTTTGACTTCATTCTTTTTTAGCGCCAGCATGTCAATTCTTGCATCCTTTGGTTTTATATCCGCAGGTTGGGAAAAGTGGAAACATTCCAGCAGGTACCACTGTGGACACAAAAATCACCCACCCGTCGGAGTTTGACTTCTATCTGTGTAGTCATGCTGGTATTCAGGTATCTTCTGGATGCACGCACACACACACACACACACAGGATGTCATCAGCTCTGGGCCAGATCCTTCTCAGCTGCGTGTGCATGTGGTTGAGTGTGTCTACTTTTCTAGTTTTCAGTGTCATGACACTTATTTTCAGTCCCTTCTGCCACATGAAAGTTGAGAAAGTTGGACAGAATTTCCTCTCCATTCGACAGGTTTTCAGGAATTCCTGATTAAAAAAATTAAGAGAGAAGTAGAAAGTTTTACATGGCAAATACTTTGATTGTATTATATATATATATATATATACATTCTGGAGCACCTTTGCACTGAAGTCAGTTTGCAGTTCTGAATTACTGTCTGTCTGTCTGTCTGTCTATGTCTCTGTCTGTCTCTGTCTGTCTGTCTGTCTGTCTCTCTCTCTCTCTCTCTCTCATTTTCATTCTCTCATTCTCATTCTCTCTCTCTCATTCTCTCTCTCATTCTCATTCTCTCTCTCTCTCCCCCCCCCTCTCTTTTTCTGTCTGTCTGTCTGACTGACTGACATGTATTGTTATAAATTAAGCAGCGAACATATCTAATACTCCTTCATCCTCCTATATTCCCCACAACAGTCTTGTGAGGTAGGTTAGGCTGAGAGGCGGTGATTGGTTCAAAGTCACCCAGCCGGCTTTCATGCCTAAAGCAGACTAGAACTCACCGTCTCCTGGTGCTTGACCCAAAGTCGCCCAATCAGCTTTCATACCCAAGGTGGGAATAGAACTCATTGTCTCCTGGTGATTGGCCTAAATATACCCAGCTGGCTTTCATGGCTAAGGCTGGACTAGAACTCACCATCTCCTGATGGCTGATATAAAGACACTGAGCTGGTTTTCAAGCCTAAGGGACTAGACCTCACCGTCTACTGCTGACTGGGCCAAAATCACGCAGCAGGTGGGACTAAACCAGGGGTCTGCAACCTTGACAACTTTAAGACTTGTGGACTTCAGCTCCCAGAATTCCTCAGCCAGCTATGCTGGCTGAGGAATTCTGGGAGCTGAAGTCCACAAGTCTTAAAGTTGTCAAGGTTGCAGACCCCTGGACTAGACTCTAGTTTCTAGCCTGGTGGCTTAACCACTAGAGCAAACTGGGAAAAAAGATGCATTTATATAAATTTATACCAAAGTATACATTTCAACCAGAGCAAGCAAGTTATTATTTTCTTTACAATTGCTGCCTATCATATTCTCTGAATTTATCCTCCACCTTCCTTGTCGATGATGCCCCATGCATCTCTTATCTCCGGTGTCAGCAGCAACCTGGGCAGAAAAGTCAC